TTATTGTAAGTCTGTAAAACCTCTCCTGATGGAGAAAGAATTGTGCAAGTGTTGAAAAAATGATTCCAAGAAGAGCTGGCATTTGAATGAGGACTTGCTGACCCAGCTTCAGAACTGGACGGGGCTGTAGAGGTGATTGCGGCCAGCCCCTCATTTGAAGGGAGGAAGCTATTAGCCTTTTTCTATTGATGAGGAAACTAAGGCAAAGGAGGTTAAATGCCTCGTGCGAGGTCTCCCGGTGATGATTATTGAAACCAGCATCCCAGCCCCAGTCTGTCCGCCGTAGTGGCAGAGGTGACATTTGAGCTAGATTTTATAGTTGGGAGGAGTTCAACTTGCAAAGATGGGAAGGGAAAGATTTTAGGCAAAGGGGCAGGACAAACAAAGGTGGGGAGCAGATGACAGTGACAGCCATCTCACATTACAATGAGCTGACATTTTTTTGGAGCCAGGCCAGGTTTTTTAGTGCTTTACTTGTATTAGCTCATTTAATTCTCACATTATAAAATAGATATGATGGGCCAGGCACGGTGACTCACGCCTGTAATCCCAGCCGAGGTGGGTGGTTCACCTGAAATCAGGAGTTCAAGACCAGCCTGGCCAACAGGATGAAACCCTGTCTCTACTAAAAATACAAAAGTTAGTTGGGCATGGTGGCACATGCCTATAGTCCCAGCTACTCCAGAGCTGAGGCAGGAGAATCACTTGAACCCCGGAGGCAGAGGTTGCAGTGAGCTAAGATTGCACCATTGCACTCTAGCCTGGGCGACAGAGTGAGACCATCTCAAAAATAAAAAAGAGAAAAAGGTATGATGAATCCCATTGTATGGACAATAAAACTGAGGCACAGAGAGGTGAAGTGATGCGTGTGAGGTCACATACCTGTGAAGTGTCAGAACTGGGACTTGAGCCTAGGAACCTCGCTCCAGGGTCTCCCAGCTAAGCCACCAGCACCAGTGTCACTGACATGCTGGGCGCCTCCCATGGTGCTGCGGCGCACCTTGCAGAATGCATTTCCTGCATCGCTGCATTTTGTCCTCATGAATTACACTAAGGGCAGACATGGCTATTACTGCCATTTGACAGGTGCAGACATTGAGGCTCAGAGAGGTAAAGTACCTTGCCGAAGGTTACGCTTTGCCTCCCATCCTGGATGTTATTTCTGAGGTGGTCCCACTTCATTGAGAAAAGCCGTGCATTTCCCACAATTTCACATTCCCAGATCAATTGCCCCCCGGCTTGCCACGGAGGCCCGCGACGCCACTAGATTAGTTTTAAGGTTTTCAATAATTCTGCGAAGAGACAGAGCAGCATAAAACGAAGCTAAAAATATCATTTTTCTGTAGCTGTCATAACAACATTTGGGCTAATTGATTCTCAATAGAATAATGACATCCAGTGTGTAGTGAGAAATATTCATGAAGAGATCTGTGAAACCCTCGAGGTGCCGGGCCATGCTGGCAGCCCAGGACAACTCTGGGATGTGTCCGTGTAGACGCCTGCACCCGGCCTGCCCCACGGTGGGTAGGGCCTGACCACCAGCCAGCGCTGCAGCCTCTGGGACTGTCTTTGGACATCAAAGCATTTTAGTCACTGAGGACTGGGGCTCCCAGCCCCCGAGACTGCTTTAATCAGAGAAAGGTGATGAAAAGATTAGAGGGTATGATTTATGGAGAGAGATTAGCATCAGAGGAGTCGAGGGGGAGAAAAGAGAACTCTCTCAAAGTAGTTGAGATAACAAAGGCTGTGGAGGCGCGAGGGGGAAGGAGGGGAGGCAGCTGCGGGCTGGGTTCTGCATCTCCACTGGACCACGGGGCTGGAGAGTCCTGCTGGGGTGAACAGAAGGATGGGGAAGCACCTCGGGGTCTGAGGCTGCCCAGTCCAGCCTCCCCCTGCAGAGCTGCTCCTGGCTGCATGCTCATCTCAGGACAGCTCAGGCTCCAAGGGCATCCCTGGAAAAGCTGGCTTTGTGGGACCTTTCCACAGGGCTGCCCATCTTTGGGGTCGTGTGTGTTAGGGAGTGTCTTGGCCTGGTGAGATGGTCTCCAGGCTAGAATCTGTGATGCTCATATGTGTTTTATCACAGAGGAGCACGTTGTTTGCAGGTGTAGGTGTGCACATGCCTGGGTGTGGGGTGTACACACGATGCTCATATTTATTAAGCCCTGATATCTACCAGGTACAGTTTTAAGGACTTAACATGCATGAGCTCACTTCATCCTCACAGCAGCCTTGTGAGGCAGGGACTCTTGCTATTCCTCTTTTATAGGAAAGGGCAATTGAGGCTCAAAGAGTTGAACTCTACCAAGTCACACAGCTACTAGGTGGCAGGGCTGGGACTGGGGCCCACATCTGTCCAGCCCCCAAAGTTCACAGGATGCTGAAGGGAGGCGAAGGGAGAAGGCAGAGGTGTGTGGAGATGGGGATGGGAGAGGCTCCTCTGGTGTGTGTCTCTGGGTACACTGTGAGGTGTGTCCGTGTGTGTACCCTGTGGAAAGCTCCATGTGTGCTGGCTGTGTGTTTTGAAGATACGCATGCAGAATGAACGTGGAGGGTGCTGAGCACATCCGTGTCTGTGGGCAGGCCCTGTGAGGGGCGGAAAGCAGACTTCCTGATGGAGTGCCATGCCTCGCACCAGGCGCTCCACATTCCCATCCTTAACTGCCCCAAGTTTCACTGGTCATCAGGTTGTAATGCCACCCTTCCACCATCACAGCCCTGAATGCACGCTCACACTCCCACTTGCCCTTTCACAATCTCACCCTCTTCCTTCCAGAAGCCCCTGGGATGTCTTCTGTGAGGTGGGTCATTGTTCTCTGATGTTCCACTTTTCAAAACTCCTCCAGGAATATCTGTAGCCTGGAACTGGCTGAGGCTGCTGGGCCCCCACAAGAATGCTAGAATTCACCCCGAGGGAAATGCCCTGGTGTGCAGACACACAAGCAGCACCAGACTCCGTGCTGCATGAGGGCAGGACTGTATTTCCGGCTCACCACTCAACTCTTAGTACCAAATGCAGGCCCGGGAACATAATAGCTGCTCAATAAATAGTGCTTTATATTCCCTGGAAATGCCACTGTCTTAAACCGTCTTGTGTCATATTTTGTGACTCAACAGGTGAAAATGGGTCCTTTACCTTAATCCTGTCTGCTGCTCAGTCCCTCAACAGGGCTTAGATGCTGGACAGCCCTAAAGACCAAGGTCTGAGACAAATGTCTTGTTTACCTTCCCTTTCCTATAGTCAAAACCTTATGCAAATCTGCTCCTTCTAGAACTGCCCACCAATTCACTAATGCATTACTAATGGCTAATAATTCATGGCAAACATTTACTGAGCACCGGTCAAGTGCCAGACACTGAGCTAAACTGTTAATGTGAGTGATGGCTTCTCAGTGCAAAGCAGCCCCACGAGTTAGGCACAGTTTTTATCCCTGTTTTACTGGCGAGGAATCTGAAGCTCAGAGATGTTAAGTAAAATTTCCAGAGTCACACAGCAGGTGAGTAAGTGTAGGATCTGGGAGTTGAACCCAGGTGGTCTGACTGGCTTTTGACCACTGTACAGCATGACCTTCAGATCGGTCTGAATTCCAGCTAAATGAGGCCTCAGTGGAGATCTTGATACTCATAGGTCATTAACTTTATGTCTAAAAAACTCAAAAACAAAACAAAACAACCTTCTACATATTATCCTGATTTTACAGAGGAGGAAACTGAGGTCAGGGCAGTTAAGCAACTGCCAGTAGCCACACAAATATTAGAGAGGCTGAGCCAGGGTCGGAACCTGTATCTGCCAGCTCCAAAGCCTCATTTCCCTTGCTGTGCCTTCCTCTGGAGGAGTGGTGATAGACCTTGGCCACAGGGAAATAGGTGAGAAGTAAGGAAGGGGACCCAGCCAATTAAAGATATGCAGTTTGGAGCTGGGTGCCAGGGTCTTGGAAGAAAACATAGAAATCCCAGCACTCTGAGAGACCTGGGCAAAGGGGCAGGTGACCTGTCATATATAAGGAGGCATTCGGAGTTGCCGACACACACATCACAGACATGTTTTGGACTTCAGCCCTTCAGCAGGGAGTTCCTAAATGATTTCCATACGACACACCCCAATGGGATAAGAGTCACCAGGACACTGTCCACAGGCCTGCCTTTGGGCTGGGAGGGGTAGAACCTCCACAGTAACTGAATGGTCATTATAAACAGAACGGCATCTCTATCTAGAGATAGCATGTGATGAAATAGAAACAGGAAAAAAAAAGGTTTTGACTCATACAAATTCAGGCCCTGCTGTTCATTAGCTGTGTGACCGTAGGCCAGGCACACGCCTCTGAGCCTCGGTTTTCTGGTGCATAAAATGGGGATATTAAGGCTTTCTCTTCCTGCCTAGCAGGGCCTTGTAGGGGGAGGCCTCTGCTCTTGTTGCTGTGCAAATATATGCCACTGGATGCACCAGAAAGTGAAGAATCCAGCCAGGCATGGTGGCTCATGTCTGTAATCCCAGCACTTTGGGAAGCCAAGGGGGGTGGATCACCTAAGGTCAGGAGTTCAAGGCCAGCCTGGCCAGCATGATGAAGCTCTGCCTCCACTAAAAATACAAAAATTAGCCAGGCATGGTGGTAGGTGCCTGTAATCCCAGCTACTCAGGAGGCTGAGGCAGGAGAATCATTTGAACTGGGAGGCAGAAGTTGCAGCGAGCCAAGATCGTGCCATCGCACCCCAGCCTGGGCAACAAGAGCAAAACTCCATCTTGGAAAAAAAAAAATGTGAAGAATCTGGTCAGGGAAGGCAGCTTAGCAGAGGAAGGGAGTGGAGAAGGCATGGAAAAGAATATAATCTATGGGGCCAGGTCACATGGAAATCCTCGCTCTAGCTTATGCTGTGTTCAGCAGTACAGAGCTTCTGTATCAGAAGGTAGAGATGTTTTTATGTCCCAAAATGAGCCATTTTCATTGTTCATTCATTCATTCATTCATCTATCTAGTCTTTGAATCAATGTTTATTGATAAGGCATATATAGGAGACACTGGGTCAAATATTGTCAGGACCCTGGAGGCGAAGCAGACAAGGACCCGACATACCTGGGGAAATAAGATACACACATAGTTACTATAACATGAGGCACAGGGTGGCATCAGTCATCATCAGATGGGTACAGATAAGGTGCTGCTGGAGTTCATAGTTGGGGAACATCACTTTCGCTCCAGGCAATCAGAGAATGCCTCCTGGAAGAGGTGGCATTTAGAATGCAGAAGCAGCCAGGAAGAATGTAAACTATATATATATATATATATATATATATATATATGATTTGTTTTTTCTTTCCTTCTTGTTTTTTTTTTTGAGATGGAGTCTCGATCTGTCACCCAGGGTGGAGTACGGTGGCATGATTTCAGTTCACTGCAAACTCCGCCTCCCGGGTTCAGGCAATTCTCCTGCCTCAGCCTCCTCAGTAGCTGGGATTACAGGTATGTGCCACCACGCTCAGCTAATTTTTACATTTTTAGTAGGATGGGTTTTCACTATGTTGGCTAGGCTGGTCTCGAACTCCTGACCTCAAGTGATCCACCTGCCTCAGCCTCCCAAGGTGCTGGGATTGCAGGCGTGAGCCATCGTGCCTGGCCGGATGTAAACATATTGAGGTGCAGGAGATGAGTCTTCCAGGGAGATTGTACTCGATGCATTTGAACGGGTCACAGATACCTGCACCCAGCATCATAATGTATATGCACACAGCGTAATAGTAACAACGGCAACAATAACAACAACAAGGTGTGTTACGGAGAATGAAGCGGCGGATTCTGACCCCCATTTCACTCAAGGAGAAGCACAGGTTGGGAGATAGACCCTGCGGTTTCCCCAGTGGATTCAGGCTCTCTGTGCCTCTCTTCCTGTGAGCATCACCCTGAGGGTGATTCTAGTGTTCAAAGACACGCATCCTTTATGTAACGTGGCCCCTCAAATCAAGCCAACAACCTCATCTGGTGCTTAACCCAAAGAAAAGCGATTTGTTCTGATGCTGAAGGAAAACCCAGCTGTGTTGGACTTACTGAGAGCTGGTATATCGGTCTCTCTCCTAAGGGATTTGTAAGGGTAATTTTGACCATGCTTGGTTTTTCCCTTTATTCGCCGACTTTAAACACCATCTCTACATCACACAGACGACTGTCGTGGGAGCAGTGTGGCACAGGCATGATGGCGGGTACAGCTGGGATGTTCAGGGAGCGTAATTAGAGGGCTCCATGACTGCTAAGGGCCCATCGGATTCCAGGAGCTCGTGAGCCGGCTGTGATCTTTGGAATCCTCATTAGAAATTCTCTCCAGAGCCTGGGGCATATGCTTTTGCTCGTCTTTAATAATGGCAAATCTTCATGCTTTGAGGTTGGATTTGATTTCGGGAAACAACCACAAGAGGCATTTGGAGCCCAGCCTGGTGGAAGAACAAGCTGGAAAATGTGCTTCTGGTTAAATGGGAGGTGTGACTCTAATTGGCACAGGGGGGTGCCAAGGGCAGGTAGAAGCCAGAGCAGGAAGCTCCAGGGGAAGCTCCGGAGTTGCTGCAGGGAATGCCAACCTGGGGGCAGGCGGAAAGGGAATTCTGCCATCCTCTGGCTTGGGCACGGTGGGCACCCCACCAGCTTGACTGGAATTTGTCTCCTGCCTGCAGCTCGGTTACAGACTCAGTGTTATAATGGTTTAGAGGCCATTTTCAGAGTGTTTGGGTCTACTTGAACGCTAGCAAGTGCAGAGACCATGTTGGGGGTGGGCGGGGGGACATCCAGGCCTCTCTGTGAGCTGTCCCAGTGCCCACTCCACGAGAAGGCCCCTCTGGACCTCATTAGCCGAGGTTGGCCAGAGGAAGGGCTGAGGGCCTTTATGCCTTCGGATGGTAGGCAGACTGCTAGGCCCAGCTACGGGTCTGCCTGCCTGGGATACGAGCTCTTCAGCAGCCCAGCTGAGCTGCCTTGACTTCCCTGCCAACTTCCCTGTGACCACCGGGCACAGTGACTGGAGGTGTTGCATCCCTCAGGGATTTGCATACCTGATCCTTCCTCCCTCCACCTCTGCCACTTGAGACTCTTGGCCTTATTCCACAGTGACCCTTCTGTGCCCACATCCCACACTTACAAAAAGACATGCTTATGCCTCCTTTCAGGGTGACTTGCTCACTGACTTCAAAGGCACTTCCTTTTGGAGACACCAACTCTAAACATTTGGACCACAACCCCAGCTTGCAGGGGGAGCCTGTTTTGAGGAGCGCTGAGCACTTTCGTTAAACTGTTTATTTTAGAGTCTTCCCCAAATAGTCTGCAAACAGTGATCAGCCCCAGTCTCCTTGTCCTAAGATGCTGAACCCACAGGCTTTGGGCTCTGAAAACAAAGTGCAGAGTGAGCCATCAGAGGAAGAAGCAGGCCAGAAGCTCACACCCATGACAACTGCACACCCCACGGGTGTGGAGAGCGTGCTCTCACCTCCCCACATCCAACAAGCTCACACTCACCCACACCCACCTCCTCACACACATGCACACTCCACCTGCACAGGCCGTGTACCCACATACTCCCACCCCTCCCAAATGTCCCGCACGTGGACCATTACACCTCTCCCCAGCACAAACGCACATAACCACAGGCTGTTCCCTGCACGCTCCTGGGGGACACTGAGACTCAGGGAGGAAATCTGAGATGACCTTAGAAATGCCACTCTCTGCAAATGAGCTTTTAAGCCAAATGGTATAAGAGAAAAAGTACAGATCTCACAGTTCTGTGCGTTGGGCTCAAGGGCAGGAATTGCCAGGTGAACCACGCATTCTTGGGCAAGTCCTTTCTCCATGCTTTACTTTCCCCATCTCTAAAGTGGGCCTAAAAGTAACCCCTTGCACCTAGATGATTGTGAGGACAGAATGAACTAACGAAGGAGTGTGCTTTGCTTTCTACACCGCAAAGTACAAAAAATGCTCATCGCCAGGGTCATCGTTGTAATTCCAACTGAGGAACAGGCCATATTCACATGAAATGGACCTTCCTTGTCCAGCCTATCCAAAGAAGAGTGGGTCATGCCTTTTCATCTTGGATGGGTACAGCCACTTGTCCCCACATTGCTGGGGCTGTGCCCGTTCCCCTAGCCTCTGGTTCAGGTGGCTTAGCACTCCTGACCCAGGAGATCTGAGATGTGTGGTGGAGGTGGAACTGGTCAGTAAGGACCCAGAAATGGCCAGGCGATTCCCAAAAGAACTTTACATAATCAATGCAGCATCTATTACAAAACATCTATATGCAAAGATGACTCTTGCCCCAGCGGATGAAAAAGTGACTATTGGCAAATCTCTGACAAATGTTTCTGGGATGTGAGGGCTTTGGGGAAGGTAAAGAGGGGAACAGAAAGGGGAGAGTCAAAGTTCTTTCGGTGTCCAAAGAAAGGGTGTGGCCGGAGACCTGGCGGTCCAGGGCCAAGAGGAGATGGTGGGGGAGGAGGGTGCGACAAGGAGCAGCCAAGCAGGCACTCACTTCAGAAAAGCTCCCAGGAAGGTGACACGGGGTGGCCAGTGGCTGGAGGGGCATGCACTTGAATGATGCGTCGATTATGCTGCAAAGGAATGGATGGACCTCGACGCGCCATGGGCTTCCTGTAACTGCTTGAGAAACAAACAGTTCCAATAACACTGGGGGTTAGGAGAAAGGGTGGGGTGGGATGGGTGATGCACATATAGTGGTTGGAAATTCAGAGGGGAGAAGCATTCTGCTTTCCAATGCCGAGATCTTTCCCAATGTGAGAGAGCAGATGAGACTTGGAAGCAGGACTTGAGTGTCGTGCATTTGACACAGAGGGTAGGAAAGGGATGAACCCTTGGAGGTAGGATCCCCCAGCATCTCTCCTTACAGAGGAGACTGAGGGCCAGGGGAGGAAAGGCTGTGATGAAGTCTAAGTCTTACAGTGAGCGAGAGCGGGGGTTCTCAGGACTGTGGACGGGGTGGAAGGTGGGTGCATCTGCATGTGCTGAAATTGTATAGCAATGGGTGTATAGATATGAGCTTTTTTTTTTCTTTTGCCAGAAGGACTATCACTTTCATCATAATTCCAAAGGGTTGTAAGATTTCAAGCATGCAAAGGAGGATGATTACAGGCCGGAATGCCTAGGTTCAAATCCCAGCCCTGCCCCTTTCTAACTTTGACTTTGGGCACATTACCAGCCCACCTGCATCTCCGTGACCTCATCTGTAAAACGGGAATAATAAAATCCTTACTCAATAGGGTTTTCAATTAAATAAGATTGCAAACGCCTTGCATATAGTCAATAAATTGTAGCTGGGGTTTTTTTCTCTTCTTTTTTGAGATAGGCCTCACTCTCTTGCTAAGGCTGGAGTGCAGTGGCTCACTGCAGCCGTGACCTCCTGGGCTCAGATGATCCTGCCACCTCATAGTGGTTATCTTTCACACTGTTATATCATTGTCTTCAAGATATGATTCTCTTGAAGATAAGATGAGCACCTCTTGCACATGGGTGCAGTGGATACTGCTGGATGAGTTGTGAGTTCCAGGCAGGTCCAGCCCACGGAACTTAGGACACAGAGCCAAGGGCTGCTGACAGGCAGGGCCAGGAGCAGCCCCACATCCGCTGGGCAGTTTGTATGCAGCGGGCGTTGTAAGAGTGTGTCCCAGAGAGGGGAGGGCTGCTCCATAAGACTGATTTGTTGCTGCTGAACCTCATTAATCAAATCTTACCGGAGAGAGCCTCCTGCAGCTGCTGGCAGGTCAGCGTCAGGGAGATAAGTGATGTAGCCAGACCCAGTGAGGGGGAGAGATGAGGCGGCCATAAGTCTTGACAGTGGCAGGCTGTGAAGCAGGAGGTCCGAGCCCACACGTCCTCAGCACCTGGGGCGAATCTCTGAGTCAGGACATAGTTCTTCCTCCCAAGGGATGCTCTGGAGAAATGGAGAGTCGGGATGGGATGTGCCTTGGAGGAGCTTCTGAGAAGCAGGGGTGTCCGTCAATGTGTTTTGGGACAAGTCAGTCAAAGATGAACCAAGACATCACTGGGGTCATGGTCCTTCAAATCACTAGGTTCCCCCAGCAGGCACCCCAGACAATTCCCCCAGCCACACCCATGGCCCCATTTCTGACCCCACTGGCCAAGCAGTGTTCAAAGGAAATATTTCTGATATTGATCTCATCTGCTGCTGCGCAGTTGAACCATTTCCACCACTCAGAACCTCAGTTTCCTCATTGGTTACAACAACAGAACCGAGAAGTCTGTGCCAGGTACAGTTCTAGCTGCTTTACTTAATTCTCACTAGCAGTTTTAGGATGTAGTCACCTTGATCTTCCCATTTTACAGATCAGGAAACTGAGGTCACACATCTAGGGAGTGGTGGTCCCCTCTGTGGGTGGTCAGGGAACAGGCTCTTGCTGGTTGTTCAGGTGACATGATCCGATTGTCAAGATACCCTGCCAGCAGTTCTGAATGACTCTGAGGGGCCCCTGCCCCAACGAGATGAATGAGGCTGACAGCTAACTTGATTGTCATCTTAGACAGAAGGGGCTGTTTCTACTTTCTCCCCAAGGACAATTACTTCTTCTCTGCTGCAAAATGCCCCTGGTGCCAAGACCTGTGCTGGTAGAGGCAGTAAACCAAGCAGGTTTACATAAGGAGCCTGACTACCCAGCCCCATCACTCACTCTAGCTGTGTGAGCTTGGGTCTGTATTCTCTGAACCTTGATTTCCTCTTCAAAAATAATAACAGCCACTTCAATGAGCCATTCTGACTGAAAACAAACAAACGAAACTTGTAAAGTGTTTGGAACAGTGCCAGGCACATAGTAAGCACTTAATAATTGCTGTTCTCTGTTGCCTCAGCGAGGAATCTACCTGAGTGCTGCCCCAGGAGCCTTGTGACTCCGCTGCTGCCCATAGTGACCTAAGTCATGTGCCCGCTAGAGCCCCTTCCTTCTTTCCAGAACCTGTTCTCAGTGTTCCCAGGCCTCTCTTCTTACTCTGCTCACCATTCCTGGGATAACAGGTGATTTTCAGCCCTCGAAAGGGATGCACCCCCTTCCATGCACATATAGCATCATCTGCAACCTCAAGAGCCGAAAATGGGGAGAGCCATCCTCACGGCCTCAGCAGATGTGCAGGTAATAACTACAGGGTTTTTTGTTGTTGTTTTTTTTCCACACTTAGTATGTGCAGAGCATCAAGCCAAACACTTTACAAACATTAGCTCACATAATCTTGATGACATCTTTGTGAGTCAGGTCCTATTTTAGGCCTGTTTTATGGTTGAGGAAGCTCAGAGAGGTCAAGTAACTTTTCCAAGGTCACTCAGGTAGTGAGTGACAGAGCTGGGCTTCAAACCCTAGTGGTTGACTATGAAGGCCGTGCCCTTACCCCTGATCCTAATCCTGGGGCTAAAGCCCCAGCACAGAAAGCTAAGGCCTGCCTTAGGTACTCCGAAAATGTCATTTCCTTTTCTCTAACCCCACGCTGCATTGCAGAGGCCCCCACATTTTCAGGGCGGGCTGAGCCGAAGTTCGAGAGTTGTTAACTTCTTAGTACTTCTCTCTTTGCCTCATTATGGGGTAAAACTGCATTTGGTTTTTAAAATTCCCTTTTTATTTAGTCGCTGTGAATGTTAAGAACTGCCAGTACTGGAAGCTGAGATCCCATCCATATGCCAGGTTTTAAATAGCAGACTAGAAACAAGTTTACACAGGAAGATCAAACTCATCCCAAACATGCAGCTACTGCACTGTTCAGACAAGAAGCCCGTGCCCCCCGCCCCACCCCGCCCGCTCGCCCCTGTCTTCCCACTTCAAACGATTTCGGAAAGTCATCTTTCTTGTTTTAGAAAAACATTGCTGAGTTCCGTCTGCTGCTCTTCGTACACGAAGAAGGAAGTGGTGACCGGGGATGGCAAGGTGTGCAGTGGTTTGTTTTTTCTCTTGGCAGAGGTGACGGCCTTGCACGATCCATCCGCATTCACCCCGGAAGCCACTTCCACCTCCCTGGAGCCAGAGGTGCGCTGACGTTGCCCTGCGCACCGAGCCACGCGAAGCTGCATGTGGAAGAATCACCCTGGACCGGACCTTCATGATCTGCCAAAAAGCGCTCCGTGACCTTGGGCTGTGACTTCTCCCCGACACCCCTCTGAGACTCAGTTTCCTCCTCTGCAAAATGCATGTCTCAGACAGAGCCTTGATGGTTCAGTGCCTGGACTCTGGCATCACACTGCTAGTGTCCAAAGCTCTCAGCCTGCAGCTTCCTGGCTAAGTCCTGTGTGAGCCTCAGTTTCCCTCCCTGTAAAGCAGAGGTCCTAGTAGTGCCTGCCTTCTAGAGTATGTTGTCGTTTCCGTGAGGGTTAAGGTCCTCCATGCTAAGTATTGAAACGGGGGCCTGAGACGCGGTGAGTGGCAGCAAACACCAGTTAGGATCACCAGCCTGGGACTGCCTACCTCCCCATGTCTTTGTGGGGATGGCGGAGATTCAAGGCATGAGGGCCGCCAGCCCAGGATATGGCATTTGCTCCAAAACCTCCTGGCTACACTCAGATCTGAAGTGCATCTCCACCATCAGGGTGCAACGTGAGACCTGGTCCTCACCCGGCCCATCCTATTTACCCGGGCTGAACTCACTGGGGCCTGTCCAGGCGGCTGGGAGGGGGTGGGTTGATCTATGGGCTGGGTAACCTGCCTGGGGGAAGGGAGGGGGCCTCTGACCCGAGGGGTAAATCATGGACTTCCCCCAGGGCCCGCCAGTTCCCCAGGAAAGAAGCCCTGGGCATTTGTTATCTCAATGTTTCCCCTGAGGGGCTGACCACATGATTCATTTCACTCACACTAATTGGATGTAAATTAGATGAGAAATCAGTAATTTGTCCAAAGATTTGTCATTCTGGTGGCTTTCCAGGCAGAGCAAAGCACTGGTCCAGCGAAGGTACCCCCAGCTGTAAGGGACACAGAAGCCTGGCGTCTTCAGAGACCACGAGGAGCTGCTTCCTGGTGGTTCCTGTGTTTGCATTTTTTAAAAGAGGATGGAGCTAAGGTGAAGATAGAAAGAGGCCGGGGAGAAGAGGAATAGAGGGGAAGAAAGGAGGTCGGGGTCGGGGGGTGTAGTTGGGGACGAGGGAGAGGACAGAAGAGGAGAATCAGAGCTTTCTCTGGCTGCTTTTGGCCGGCTGGAGGGGTGGAGGAACCTTAGGTCATGTTATTTAGTGTCAATAGGAAAAAGGATCACTCCAGGCTTCTTTCCCTACGACAATATGCTAATCAACCCCTTGGGCCCACTCGGGTCTGGGAAGCCGGGCAGCTGCCTCTGTCACATCTCCAGGAGTGCCAGGGCCACTGATTTAATGAGGGAGAGGGCAGGGCTCCGCCGGGCTCCTGGGAGTGGGATCAGGCAATGACTGGGGGTGGGTGGCGGTCAGGGCAGTGTGGAAGGAGTGGGTCTGACCAGGGCGCCTGCGTGGAAAGGAATGGCAGCATCCAGGGCTCCCCACCACCCCAGCCGCTGCGGGGTCAGGTGAGAGCAGCTGCTCATGTTCTATTTATTAGAGAGACAGAGTCCCCTGAACAAGGGCGGAAATGTAAATATTAAAAAAAAATGAATCAGAGGCTTGAGTCAAGGGCATAAAGGAAGGGAGGGAAAGTGCTGCGTTTGGCAGGTGGAAAAAGCCAGGGAGGTCAGAAAAGGGTCAGAGGGGTCACGGGCCTGAAGACCACTTTTGAGCAGTTGTACCCTAACTGTGACCCCAGCTCAGAGGCGGGGAATGTCAAGGTGGGATCCCTGCCCGTGCTTCTGGAAGAGAGGTCGTAAACGTCACTGCTGAAGAAAAGAGGCAACTGTCTGTACTCCAGAAACTGGGCCTCACCTGGCCAAGGAGGGTAAGGAGCAGAGGCAGAGGGCAGAGGCCCTAGACTCAGAGCGGAGGCTGGGGCATCATACAAGGTCAAGGGCCCTGCAGCGAGGCAGGGTCAGGGACTGGGGTCTGAGGTGTCGTGACCTTGAGTTTGAAGAGACTTCTTATTATGTGCTCATTCATTCAACATTCCACTTGTGTTTATTAAACTGCTACTGTTTGCCAGGTGTGGTGCTAGGTGCAGGCTGAGTCAAACAGGCTTGATTCCTGAAGCCCTGAAGCAGAAGCAAGGCTAGGAGGGGACGTAGACATGAATGAAATAATTGTGCACATCCGTGTGTGATGATAAACTATGCCATGTGAGAAAGGAGTGTGGGGCTTTGACGGCGTGGGACAGAGGAACGGGACCCAGTCTGAGAGTGGGGATGTCGGTGGGGGCGGGTGAGGGAAACAATGCTAAGATAATCAATACAACGCGATAAAAGGGTAACTCACAAGGAGAAGCATTGACCTTGGTGCCCCAACCTTGCTGGGGCTGCGTGTGAGTGTGCAGGAGGTGCAAGTGAGCGTTTTGAAACGCCTGTGAGAGTGCATACACCTGAGCTTATGTCTGTGTGGGGCAGGGAATGTGCTTTTCTGAGGGATGCATGCTGATTGTTTTGGGGTATATTTCAAAGCAATATAAGCAGCAGCAACTGGGATCTGGGGTGGCCTAAAAAGGATCCCCATGTTTCCCTCTTCACTTCACGTCCCCAAATTTGAGAAAGAAAAAGAGAAATCAGTCCTTCGGTTTCAACGTTTCTTTGATTCTGGGTATGTTCCATGTGGTTGTGTGGCTGGGAATACCTGGCCCACGCTTAGTGTGGTTCAGCCGGGGTTTCCTGCCCTCCCCAAAATGGTCCTTTGATTATTTGTTTTCACTCTTTCCTTCTTTGCTTAATAATTTATAGTTGATTGAGTTTATCAAGTGCCCAGGAGTGGTAAGCCCTTCGAATAGGTCATCTCATTTGGTGGGTACTCGTATCCCCATTTCACAGATGAGAGAATGGAAGACGAGAGAGGTCGAGTGACCTCTCCAAGGTCATGCTGCAAGAGCAGAGACCCCAACTCCAAACTGACGACCTCTGACTCCCAAGAGCCTGCTCCTAACCCCGTCCACCCTTTCCCCCATCTCTTGCTTTCTTCCTTTCTTCTTTCTCTTCCTTCTGGACTTCCATAAACATCTACAAGCTCGTGATTAATTAGAGGCTAGGTATTCACATTACACCATGGCTCTCTGCTTTACACAAGTATGGTTTCATAACAAGGATCTGATTCATGCACAGCTTTTAGGGACACCTATATCCGCCTCCCATTGCCAACTTCCTCAGCAAATGTCAAGGTGTTGAGGGAGAATCATCGACATTTCAGAGTTGGAAGTACAACCCCCCTCATTCCACACGGACGAACTGAGGCCCTGCAAGGAGAGACCTGTGAAGGACAGTGATCCTCACTCACCGCCACCACGGAAGCCAAAGAGGCCCCTTCTGACCCCTGCTGTGCTCCAGCGGGCACATCCTGCTTCCCTCTGAGGAATCAGAGCATCCCTTAGGAGATCACAGCACCCCAGTGGATGCAGTAAAAAGATCCTCCAAGTTGACATAGAACCCGGACCACCGCAGGCAAAGGGGCTGCCAGTCATTCTGAAAGTTCTGACGTAACGCCCAGGTCTCAGGCTGCCAGGGGAAGTTTTATTTAGATGAATAAGCTGCTGTCTCAACTGCTGTGGAGGATGACACTTACACTTAAGGGGCCATATTTCTACCCTGTTGATTAGAGGACAGGGAAGGGGAGCTGAGAGAGGTAAATGTGAATGAGCGACACAACACTGCTCTTTCCTTCCCCTCTCCCTCCAGCGACCATGCTGGTGGTGGCTGTGGCTATAAAAGTATTGGCTGTGACTTCCACCGATGCCCTCAGGGACACCTGCTCATGTGAGAGACGGAGGCTCTGCAGTCAGACAGGCCTTTGTTCCAAACCAGGTCCTGACACTTAGGAATCGCAGCTGCCCCATCTATAAAATGGAAAAATGACCCTGCCATATGCTTCTCAGGGTAGCTGGGAGAATCAACCAGCGTTGTGATAAAGATAAAGCAAGTGGAACCGTGTCTGGCCAAATGGGAAAATTGAATGAAATAACGTAGGTAAAAGACCCAGCACTGCTCCTGGCACATCTAGGGAGTTCATTAATTTTGAGTTTCTCCTGGCTCTCCTTTCCCAGCCTGGGACCTAACCTCAGTATTAGGAAAAGAGCCTGGGAGCCTCCTCCCGCCTCCCTCACACCCACTTTGAAAATTTTAAGACAGAATCTAGGTCTGTCACTCAGGCTGAGTGCAGTGGTGCAGTCACAGTTTACTGCAGCCTTGAACCCCTGAGCTCAAGCGATTCCTGCCTAATTTAACCCCCTAAGTAGCTGGGACTACAGGCCTGTGCAACCGTGACCTGCTAATTCATTTTATTTTATTTTTGTAGAGATGGGGTCTCACTACATTGCCCAGGCTGGTCTCAAACTCCTGGGCTCAAGTGATCCTCCCACCTTAGCCTCCCAAAGTGCTGGGAGCCACCACACCTGGCCACTGAGTGCCCTTTTGAGTAGAGTCTGAGTTTCTTGTAAATAGTTAATGTCATTTTCCTAAAACAATTAAGTAAAACTAAAAAATACCCAGAGTATGGAATAGCTTTTTAAAAATTAATAGCTTTTAAAAAAATTAGCATAACTCATATGTTACATGAATTATATATAAAATTCATAAAACATAATATAAAATGAACCATTTTAAAGCATACAGTTGAGTGGCATTTAATGCCTTCACAATGTTGTACAACCACCATCTACATCAAGTTCCAAACATTTTTCGTCACCTCAAAAGAAAACCCTTCGCCCCTCAGCGGTCACTCCTATTCCTCCCTGTCACCCGCAAGCCTCTGGCAATCACCGGTCTGCTTTTCGAGTCCGTGGATTTATCTATTCCAGATATTTCATCTATATATAGAATCTTACCGTTTGTGACCATTTGCGTCTGGCTTATTTACTTGACATCATGTTTTCAAGGTTCACCCACCTTGTAGCACGTATCCGTATTTCATTCCTTCTTATGACTGAATGATATTCCATTGTATGGATATGCCACATTCGATTTCTCTGTTCATACATGGATGGGCATTTGGGTTGTTTCTGTCTTTCGTTATTGTAAATACTGCTGCTATAAACATTTATGTACAGGTTAGTGAGTGCCTGTTTTCAATTCTTTTGGGTATATACCTAGAAATAGAATTGCTGGGCTTTACAGAAATCCCATCTTTAACTTTTTGAGCAACCACTAAACGGTTTTCCGTAGAGGCTGTACCCTTCTACAACCCCATCCGTAATGTACAAGGGTTCCAGTTTCTCCACTTCCTCACCAGCACTTACTAGTTACCATGTTTATGGACATCTTAGTTGGTGTGAAGTGGCATCTCAGGGTGGTTTTGATTTGCGTTTCCCTAATGACTAATGACGTTGGGTATCTTTCCATGTGCTTCTTGGCCATTCATGTATCTTTCCTGGAGAGATGGTTCTTCATGTCTTTTTTCCATTTTTGAATTGGGCTGTTTTGTCTTTTTTTGTTTTTGAGTTGGTTACACCCCTAAGGAATGTTGGTGAATAATGGGTAGTGGGTAATATCTAGAACAAAACTTTCAGGGTCACCTCACCATTAGACTCAGTTGTCAAAGCCAGGACTATAGGCAAGACGCAGAGGCTCACGCCTGTAATCCCCGCACTTTGGGAGGTCAAGGTGGGCAGATCATGAGGTCAGGAGTTTGAGACCAGCCTGCCCAACATGGAGAAACCCCATCTCTACTAAACATACAAAAGTTAGCCAGGTGTGGTGGCACATGCCTGTAGTCCCAGCTACTTGGGAGGCCGAGGCAGGAGAATCTCTTGAACCTGAGAGGCGGAGGTTGCAGTGAGCCAAGACTGCACCATGGCGCTCCAAGCCTGGGTGACAGAGCGAGACTCCGTCTCAGAACAAAAAACAGGACCATTCTGGCCAAATCAAGATGCCTGGACATCATATTTTTATTTGTATTCGTGCATTGCAGGCAGAGTAGAGACCTGTTGAAGGAGTTTGGAATTGCGAAGAACTGGGCTTGAAGGAATTTGGAGTTGCATGGAACGGGGCTTTAATTCCAGCCCCTCTGCCTTTACCAGCTGTGTGCCAGTGCATTGGTGACAGTCCCAGAGTCAGTATCCTTGTCTGTAGAATGCTTCTGAGGATTGTTGGGAGATTCTATCAACACTGGGATGAACACAAAACATGTGGCGTCAGGCCTGACAACCAGAAGGTGCTCAAGAAATGGGCATTCCCTTCTCTCCTTTTTCACTTTTCCTCTCATCCAGCCTTTGCTTATTCCTTATTCCTTACTAAGGCACATGTAGATTTACGGAGGGTCAGGAGGGCAGCGGTGGAACGCAGCCACAAGTTGAAGCAGACTCAGATGTTTTCTAGGAAGGGGCTCACCCAGAAGCTGGAAGGATTGGTAGGTACCAGGAGTCCGGATTTCAGTATGGGAAATGGGGCGTCTTGGAACTGCAGGTAAGAGAAACAGAAAATACTCCTGGCTTCTCTGCTGGATTAGTGACTAGCTATGGATTCACAAAGGGGAAAATTGATTGGTTTCCAAATATTGGTCTTCAGATCCAAAATCTAAGTGCAGAGCATCTAGACCAACAGTTGGATTGATTGACCATCAGATCAGACATTTGTTGACTCAGGGTGAGCCCTTGGCTCTTGCAAGAAAATTGAATTTTAGAGTTACAAAAGTTTTGCTTTTTAAAATTTGTTTGTTTTATCTTTGACTCCATGGGTCAAACTCCAACGGGCCATTATGTTAGGGAAAAAAATACCAACAGCTAACATCTATTGAGTGCTTACCATGTAGCAGGCTTGTTACACATATTAACTCAGTCTTTGTAACAACCCTATGGCTATGAACTGAATTGTGTCCCCCAAAATTCATATGTTGAAGCCTTAACTCCCCATGTGACTGTATAGTAGGTCGGGTCTGTAATAAGGTGATTAAGATGAAAAGAAGTCATGACAGTGTAGCCTTGATCTGCCCTATGAGGATACAGCAAGAAAGAAGGTAGCTGTCTGCAAGCCAGGAGGGTAGCCCTCATCCAGACCCCAGCCACACTGCCACCTCGATCTCAGATTTTGGCTTCCAGAACTGTGAGAAAATACAGTTGAGGTGTCTAGGCCACCCAGTTTATTGCAGCCTACAGCCTGAGCTGATGAACACACCTAGGAACTAGGTATGCTTATAATTCTTACTTTCCATCTTATACAGAGAGATTAAGTCACTTGACCAAGGCCACACAGCGGGTAAGTGTCAGAGCCAGAATATGAACCCTGGATGTCTAGCTCATGAGTCCCTGCTCTTAACCTGGAGGCGAAAGTCACCTCAAGAACCACATAGCAGGGGAACTAGCTAGAGAATCAAAGTCACTCTCTCTGCGACCGTGGTGTTGCCTCCTGCTCAAACTCTTTTGTCTAGGGGAAATGGAGAAGAGAGAGGGGGTCACTTGCCAGTTACACCCAACACAAACCATGCGTGGTGCACTGCAGTTGGTAGGAGTGCCAGCTCATGAGAGCCAACTATGTTCATCTTTTCCCGACTTTACTCAGTGACATCATGTTGGTAGGTTGACATTCACCATAGTGGGAGTGTTTACACCACAGATATTGGAAAACACCATAAATCAGAGCTTTTTCACTGGAGAGCCAGTTGTTAAACATTTACCAGTATACTACTTCACACCACATCAAACACATGGAGAAGGTGTATCTGGGGGCGAGGCTCCTTGATGGCTTGGGGTAAGCCCTGGTCCTGCAGAAGCTTGTCCAGTGACCCTCTGATGTGGTTGTCTTTTGATAGACCCATAGATCCTCAAATGCTGAAGCTGGAAAGGCCCTTGGAGATAATCTAGCCCAATTTCTCATTTCAAAGATAGAAACCCAGGGCCCAGAGAGGAGAAGGGACTTGCCTAAGATCACACAGCTCCTGGCTCAGCCACTCGTACAGTTGATTTACATACAGTTGATTTACATCCATTTAGTCCAAGCTGGTAGATCTCCTTGGGGGGAAATGCCAGAGGTTTTCTGGCGTAGATTAAACGTTGATGCTGCTATTTGGGGAACTATTCCGTGAGGATGGGGTAGTGTTTTCCGGATTTCCTGGCTGTTCCCTCCTCCTGCATTTCCACACCCCACAGGGTGTAGTAGAGTGCTAAGCAGGATGCACACGCTGTAATCAATAATGCAGCCTCTTCTGTCTCAGAGTGGAGTCTGTGGAAGTCAATGCAAATAGCACAGCTTGTAAATGTGCAGATTGGACCGGAGCCCTAAAGTGCACCCTAGAAAACACGGCTGCGTGTTCTTCATCTACAGCTAATTATAACTTTATTCATTACAGTCTGGCTCATAAGATTATAGACCTAAATCAGGAATAGAATATGTGTTACATATATATTTTTGTAATACTTTCCCTCCGTCAGAAGTGAGTCTCTGCCTCTATCGGGAGGCGTGAAGTCAGAGTCCCATCCCCAAGTCAGGCATCTGCAATGTGGCATTTTCTGTCGCCACCCCACACTTTTCTCAAAGCAACGTGGAGGTGTTAATCAACTCAGAAAGCACCCACCCCACCCGCCCCGCCCGACAAATCAGCGCGACTGTCAAAGGAAGATGTAAAAGGAGTTATTAATCTTTGGGGCCAAATGTTTTTAATTATGTACATACAGTATTCAAATGAGGTTAAAAATGGTATTAACAGGTTCGGCTTTTCCCTCTGCAGTTTATCCTGATGCAGCAGGGCATGCAAGTGTGAAGGGAGCGGGCACATTTAGGATTTTTCTTGTTCTAAAGGGCTTGTTGGAACACCCTGAGGCTCAGTCCTTGGACCTTCTTACTCGATTTCCCTTCTTAGGTGACCTCAATCCATCCCTTGGCTGTAAATACCATCTATGTGCTAAGCACATCAACGTTTGTGTCTCTAACCATTTCCTGAACGCTCAACTCCAGAATCATATCACAACTCTCTGCTTGATGTCTCTACCTGGGTACCTCATAGACATCTCAACCTTAAATGTTCAAAACAAAATACTGCTTTTTTTTTTTTTTCTGGCAATACGTGGCCTTCCTTGTGATGTCCCCAGTAACAGCTTTTTATCTTCTGCCCACTATTGCTCATTAAAGCAGCACTATCAGCTGTGCAACCTGCAAACGCAGGAGTCACTCTGGATTCTTCTTTTCCTTGCCCACGACATCAGAACACATGTCCACTGGACGTTAATCTTGCAAATTATATCCCAAGTCTATCTCCTTGTTGCCAATGTCGCTGATGGCTGTTACCATCTCCGCCCTGGGCCACGGCAGTAGCCCAGGCTGGTTTCCCTCCTTCCTGTCTTGCCTCTCCACGGTCCATTCTCTACTCAGCAGCAGCAAGGATATTTTAAAAATTAGACAGACCACCCCACTGCCCTGCTTCCAGCTCTCTAGCAGCTTAAGAATAAATTCCAAATCCCTCGCAATAGCCTCCAAACCTGACAGGATCTGGTCCAGCCCACCTATGCTCTCTCTCTCTGCTGTCACCTCTACTCTTCACCCTGTACTCTGGGTTTCTTGAACGTGCCAAATGCATTGCTGCCCCAGGGCATTTGACCTGCTGTTTCTTCACCCTGGGAGACTCTTCTTCCTGTTCTCAACTTGGTGGAGATCCTTCAAATACCACTTCCTCAGAAAGGCCTTTCCTGAGCAGGGAAAGGGAGAATGAAGCCCATTCTACTTCCGTGGAGGGAGTTTTATCCTTTTCCCAATCAGGTTTTCATCCCAGAGGGACTTCTCACAGGAAACAAAGGAGTTAAAGGGAAAGGCGCACTGAGTGCTGATCAGCCCCCAAATGTGCAGAGTGCTCTGCCGTGGCTATGGCAGTGGTAGGTAACAAACCCGTGGAGCAGTCCATGACTACAACCCACCTGTCAGACCTTGACTTGTGACTTTGGGTCTTGGTCCTTGGATAGTCCCCCATGTCCAGGTACTGAATTTTACCAGCCTTCTAAGACCCTCCCAAAAACTCTTTTCTGGTTCCCAGTTAGATGCTTTCTCTCATTCAGATGAGTTCCTAAAGCACTTGGACTCTGATCTTCCTGAGGCCAGGAAACATGCCTTCCTGCTTTTCCCTCCTCCAAGCTTAGCCCTGCACCTGACACCAGCAGGCAAAGGAGTGAGGAAAGACTGTTGGTTACATGGATCATTATCTTGTGACAGTAAAAATCTGCCTTGCCTTCATGGACTTGCTTTTTCCTTCTCCCCACACTATTAGATGGTAAGCACATTGAGGTCAAGGCTGAATCTTAATTCACCTGTGTATTCCTCATGGCGTCAAGAGCAGCATTTCGTTGGCTGTCAATGGATTTCTGTAGCATGGAATCCACCACTGAGGGAAGCAGTCCAGAGT